ATCAGGGCAGCTAGGGGGCAGGGTAATGAAATCCTATCTTATCCCTTCCCTACTAATAGATACCCAGTAGCTCAGCCTAAGAAAAATATCTACTCACTGAAGCAGCACCAGCAGGAACCAGGGGAAGCCCTAGTGGTAACAGATAAATAAAAATAGCAGCAAAAAGACTAAAAATTAAACTATCCTTAGAAGCGCGGCCCACAAAAATAGGCCTAGACCTGCAAGCTAAACCTAAACGATTGCCCATGGAAAGAAAAGATTGAAATAGGAGCCAGAGTCTCCTAACATAATAAATAAAATATCTAGGATTCAATTGAAAATCACCTGTCAAACCAAGAACCAGAAAAAAAACACAACTTGAAGGAGAAAAGGCAACTAATGCCAACACCAAGATGAATCAGATGTTGGAATTATCTGAAAAGGATTTAAATCAACCATCATAAAAATACTTCATTAATCAATTAAAAATTCACTTAAAACAAATGTAAAAATAGAAAATCTAAGCAAAGAAATAAGAACTATAAAAATAACCAGATGGAAATTGCAGAAATAAAAAGTTTAATGACAGGAATTAAAAACTCACTAGATGGGCTCAGCAGTGGCATGGAGATGACAGAGGATACAATCAGTGAATATAAAGACAGAGCAAAAGAATTCAATCAAATAGACTGGGGGGGGGGGAACAAAAAACATAACAAAGCCTTGCAGACCTGTGGGACAACAACAAAAGATCCAATATTTGTATCATGTGAGTTCCAGAAGAGAAGGAGAGTTGTCCTGAAAAAGTATTCAAAGAAATGTATCCATCTTGGTGAGTAACTATATATAGATACAGAAATAAAGACAGTGTAGTATTTGGTAAAGAATAGACAACAGATCAATGGAACAGAAACAGACCCACACAAATATGCTCAACTGCTTTTTGACAAAGGTCCAAAACCAATTCAGTAGAGGAAAAATAATCTTTTTAACAAATGGTATTGGGACAATTGGGTAGCTATAGGCCCCTGCTCCCATCCCAAAAAGAACTTTGATCTAACATCTTATACAAAAATTAACTCAAGAGGACCATGGGCTTAAATGTAAACATAAAAGTAAAAAACTTCTGGGGGGGGGAAAAAAACGGGAAGAAATCTTCAAGATCTGAAGCTAGACAGAGTTCTTAGACTTGATACAAAAATAATCCATAAAAGAATAAATGATAAATTGGGCCTCATCAAAAGTAACTTTCTCCCTGTGAAAGCCCATGCGAAGGCTAAAAAGACAAGCTACAGACTGGAAGAAAATATTTGCAAAACACATATCTGACAAAAGACTAGTATCTAGAATACAAAAGATCTCTCAAAATTCAACAACTAAAAAGAAAATCTAACTTGAAAATGACCAAAAGAGATGAACACCTATTTCACAGAAAAGAATATAAAAGTAGCAAATAAGCACATGAAAAAAAATGTTCAGCGTCATTAGCCATAACAGAAATGCAATTAAAACCATAAGGAGATATCACTACATGCCTATTTTAATCTGTCTGAATGGTTAAAACAAAATACAATGACGGCCAAATGCTTTTGAAGACATCAAAAAACAGGATCACTCATCTGTTGCTGGTCAGAAGACAAAATGATACAGCCACTCTGGTTTCTTATAAAACTAAACATTCAACTGCTACATGACGCAGCAATTGCACTCATGGATATTCATGCCAGATAAATGAAAACATATACTCACAAAAATCTGCACACAGATGTTCACAGCAACTTTATTTGTAATAGCCTGAAACGACTCAGCCAACAGGAGGCTCTACCCTGGAATACAATTATCTACACTAAAGAGGAACAAAGTATAGGCAACAGCTTGGGTGAATCTCCAGGAATCCCGCTAAATGAGAAAAGCCTATTCCAAAAAGTTACATACTACATTCCACTTATATAACATTCTTGAAATGACAAATTTTGAAAAATGGCAGATTAGGGTTTGTCTTAG